CACCCTATCACAGCGTTCTTCATTGCAAGGCCCGCAAGCCAGTGGCCGTGCCCATCAACCCCAAGTGCGACTCCCTAAGTTCCCTCTAAGCTGCACGGCCACACAGCAGGCTATAAATAGCCGCGCAGCAGCTCTAAAGGGCCACACATCAGAGACCTGGAGAGGAGAAAGGTAGGGGGTGGGCAGGAACTGGGGAGGGGAGCAAGTTGGGGCTTGCAGGCCTGCTGTGGGTCTCTCCCCTGGCCCCGGAGCTCCATGCTGCCTGCCGGCAGGGGGAGAGAAGGCTCCTTCCTCTAGCTCTGTGCTGCCTGCCAGCAGGGGGGAGAAAGGACCCCTTCCCCAGAACTAGCTGGGGGGAGTCCTCTGGTCCCAGCCAGGGGCAGCCTGCCTGCACCTCAAACTCCTCATTCCCGGCCTCACCCAGAACCCTCACCCCACCCCACCCACATCCCAACCCTCTGCCCCAGCCTTGAGCCCCCTCCTGCACCCTGAACCCCTCACCCCACCCTCTGCTCTACCCTAGGCCACCTCTCACACTCGGAACACCCTCGGCTCCATCCCATGTAGCTCTCACATTGAAGGTTTTTTGCCAAAGTGGCCCCCACTTCAAAAATAGTGAAGAGCACTGCCCTATCATCTCAAAGGCATGGTCTACACTAAAGGGGGTGGGGGGAGGGGAGATCCATCTAAGTTACACAACTTCAGCTACGTGAAGAATGTAGCTGAAGCCGACGTACTTAGACCTACTCACCGTGGTGAGCTGACTGCTGCCGCTCCCCCGTCGACTCCGCCTGCACCTCTCGCAGCGGTGGAGTACAGGAGTCGACGGGAGAGCGCTCGGGGATTGATTTATCGCGTCTAGACTAGACACGATAAATCGACCCCTGCTGGATCGAACGCTGCCCAACGATCCGGTGGGTAGTGTAGACGTACCCAAAGAGTGATCAGGCAGTAACATGCTGTGGCCGGTTACCCTTGCTCCTCAGAAACAACTACCCTCTTGTCTGGAGGGAGGGAAGAGGTATTTGTTTATAAGTGAGACATGAAAGAGATAAGGTGTGTGAGGTAATATCTTCTATTGGATCAACTTCTGTTGGTGAGAGAGCATGCCCAAGCACTGAATGACTCCTCCAATACAGATTTGTAATATATGGCTCCAACACAAGTCTAACTCTCCTACAGAATCAAAATGTTTGCATGCGAGTATAAATAGTTTGACATTAAAAAAAACCACTCTGGAAACCATGCGCAAATGCCCTCAACTGGTATTCTGTGGCACTGCAATGAACTGAATGTGACTAATCGATAGTCAACTGTAAGCAAAAATAATTTTAAGATGGTATGAAGTTATCTCAGATCTTCAGCATGCCACCTAAGACAGGATACTGAGTAATGGCAACGATGCTCAAACAATAGGATTCTGTATCATAAGCCTCAGTGTGTAGCAGGGCAATTTTCAAACTGCCCCATAACATTAAAAACAGGTATCAATAAAGTGTCTAAATACTAATGACAGTACTTAGGTATTGCATGGTTAAGGGATTTAACAGCAGTAAGATACTGACTCTCACGGCAAAGTCCCTGGTTTGGTTTACTGGTACTACCATCTAATAGCAGTTCAGTGACCTATTGTGCAATAAGTTGGTGATCTCTCAATAGAGCTGGTGGTAGGCTTGTGTCACCTGACTATGTCCCTCATTCCACTAACGAGCATCAGACAAAGAAAGAGAATGGAAAGTTCCTCTGTTAAAGCTAGTGCATTAGAGTAAGAGAGGGGGGTCACTGCTGGAGCATTTGTGGGAAAGTGTCTCTCTCAAGGATGGTCCAGTAGTAAGAACACTAGCTAAGGACTTGAGAGACCCAAGTTCAATTCCCTAATCCACCAGACTTCCTGTGTGACCCTGGGCAAGTCACTTGGCTTCTGTGCCTCATCTGTAAAATGGGAATAATAGTCCTGCCTCACTCGGGTGTTTTGAGAGGATGAATACATTAAAGATTATGAGACACTCCACTACAATGGTGATGAAGCAATCTATTTTAGGTACTTGTATATGAACTACAAATTCAAGAAAGGAAGCAAAACTGGTGGGCTACAGAACTTCAGAAGAAAAATTCAAAGTCTTGTCCTTGCCTCCAAGGCTCTGCTTCTCCTTGCTTGCCACTTAATGGTACTCAGTTATACCTCATTCGTGAGGAAATGGAGATTGAACAACAAGGCCAAGAACAAACCTTAAGTCCACATTATCTTACTCCATACCCATGTTGGTGAATCTGGCCACTTTCTGTAGCAGGTTCTCTTGACAGATACTGACCGAATGACGAAGTCACATTCAATAGGGGACAACTACAAAATTACAGAGTCAAGATACACACCAGAGTTGCAGAAAAAATGAATTCCACTGCTCTTAATGAGTATATCAAATATATTCCTTCCCAGATATCAATGTTCTTTTAACATTTATCAGAGCATTTTTCCTGAAATCTGCCAAAACAACTAAAAGTTAGAAAGATCTTCAGAGTTATGGGCATAATTTGGGAGGCAGAGGGAAATGGACCATTGTATCCAGCCGCTTTGACTTGCTCCAACTCCCCTAACCTCAGGTAACCTTCACTAGACCAAGCTGCTCCCTCAACACCTCCTGACCATGCTGCAGGTAAATCCATCTCTCCGCCCACCGACCCTCTGCTTGAGCCTGCCGCTGCCTGCCCTGCAGCACCAGGAGCCAAGTCAGAGTGGGGGATGGAATTACAGTGGGAGAATCAGAGCTACTTAGCAGAGCTAAGTATTATCTGGACCATCCCTGACAGAAGAGAGCTTGCGCTCTATAGCTTGTGTTCTAGCTACAGATTTGCTAAAAGTCTTTCTTTTTTTCCTTTTCGAGAAGTTACTTTCATCCTCACTTAAGTATGGGTTGTTTCTTCCTCAGCATCCCACCTACTCAAATACTGTGTTTTCTCAAAACAGTACCTCATTATTTTAAACTGTTCCATCTGGTTTGGGTTATTTCTCCCTCCCCTACAAGTAAGCACAATTATTCCATGGATAGCCAGCTACTGTCAAGGCCATTCAGTAATATAGCCATTAACAGGTTCTTGAGAACAAAATGAGTTCTTCCCCCAACCTCTTTACCAAGAAAAATATCATTCCTTGGAGGGTTGTAAACCCAACCCTTCCCCTCAGCAGCGTACTGCCACCAGACTGGTTTACTTTATTTACCAGCAAGTTTCACTACAGCAAAGCTGTCATCCAATGCAATTACAACAGGACAGAGTGCCATAAAGGATAAAAGATAAAAAACATACACCTTTCAAAGTTGGAGCTTGGTGTGTACCTGGTTAAAAAAAAAAATCAATTATCTCAAATCAGAATACGTATTCAGTGTAATCTAATGCCAAACACAAAGTGACAATTGCCACTTTGGAAAGTCCCGGATGTCATAAAATATCAGGAGACTAACACCACCACCTGGCTCTTATATAGCACTTTTCATCAGTAGATCTCAAAGTGTTTTACAAAGGAGGTCAATATCATCCCCATTTCAAGATAGGGAAACTGAGGTACAGGGAGGTTAAGTGACTTGCCCAAATTCACTCATTAAGACCAGTGGCAGAGCTTGGAACAGATTCCAGGTCTCCTGAAAGTTTGTCTCTGTGGACTAAATATTATGCCAATTCAAAAAACAATTAAGTCAGAATTTAAAAGCCTGAATGTCTACCACTAGCATTAACGTGAGAATAGCCTATTTACATGAATTATCCTCCATGCAGGGATAGCCATACAACCTGAAAGTATTTTTTTAAATTAATTTTCTACCCATCCCAATTTCATTTGAAAGAACAAGAAACTCCTGTTTTCTTTTCCACTATCCTCTTCACAAGAGAGGAAAACTGCAGTTTCCCTAAGCAAGAGTATTGGGACAAGTTATGAATACACCTCTACCCCGATATAACGCAACCAGATATAACATTAATTCGGATATAATGCGCTCGGGGGGGGGGGGCGTGCTCCGGCGGATCAAAGCAAGTTCGATATAACACGGTTTCACCTATAACGCGGTAAGATTTTTTGGCTCCCGAGGACAGCGTTATATGGGGTAGAGGTGTATTACTGGGAGATCTAGCACAGTGACTACAAAGAAAGCCAAATGTGATAAAACCCTTAACATCCAATATATTTTTACATAAACATGTTCCCACTTGACCTGGAATTACCCCACAGAATCTTATATTCCCACAATGCCAGGCACCTCTCTGCTATGCACCTTGTACAAGATCTCTCTGGTCAAGCAACTGCTCAGCTAGGGAGATTATTTATGGTAGTTGGAGCTGCAGGTAGAGTTTGTTCACCGTAGGCAGTTAAATTAACATGATGTTGTGTGTTACCTACAGCAAATGAAACAAAAATAAACAATGTTGAGAGTGAGATCAGGAGGACTTAGCCCTACAATAGAACCATAATGTTCTGCAAGTCTCAATTCTAGATGGATTTCATAATATGCTAAAGGAGTTCCACAAAAGCATTAGCCACAACATATACAGGCAAGAGATTTTACTCACAAGCACCTTCAACACTACAAAACCTCAAAAGAAATACACCAAATGGAAGTGAACTTATTGCTGGAAACAATACAAATAGATTTGTACCCCTACTATAGTCCTAGAACAAACCTCTTGTAAATGGAATATAAAGAGAAGAATAGAAATCTGCTAGATAGGACATATGTACAACTTACCGGAAGAATAGCGTTTCTAAAGGAATATAGTATTTTGTTTTGCAGTTATTTCATAAGAATGTATAAGATACATGCAAAGTGACACTATTTAATCCTGTTTGATGAAAGTGGCAAAAAAAGTGTGCTGGATCAGAAACACACAGAGCTGAAACCTTACACTCCTAAACTGTTTTCTGGGTTCAGATATTTAATTGTCAGATGTGGTGTTAATCATACTTCCCAAAAGAATTCATAGCTTAACTTTTTTTTGCTAAACTTTTGTTTCAGTTCACAAAGGCCACTGCTGTGGACTAGACCTTCAATACTAACTCAGTGAGAAGATCCACCTGGAACAAACTGGTGTTCAACCACTACCTTCCTCAAAGAACACAATATAAACGCATCAAGTTTTGCCTCCACTGGCTCTTCAGTGGAAAATTCTATCACCAGCTGTTTTTCTACATGTTAAAATTGAATAATCTGAGACTAAAACCAGTCAAGCAACTCCTCCAGTTTTAAGCATGCATTACTCTCCTGTCACAACCATGCCACAGAAACTGATGAAATACTGTGGTATTAAACAGACTGTACCTCAAATGAGCAATTTTCTAGTACAATAAAGGTGTAAGTACACCAGGTTCAGTTTAAGTACAATTATGTTTCATTATTCAATAAGGGTTTTATTATTTGTATTGTAGTGCCTACGGATGCTAATCGAGGTCCAGAGCCCTACTGCACCAGATGCTATGCAGACTGAGTAAGAAGACAGTGTCTACCCCAAATAGCTCATCATGTCATGACAAAGACCCCCAAAAAAGGCAGATGAAAAGCAAATTGGGGGGGGGGGAAGAGGAAGAAAGAAAACGACACAACAAGAAAGGGTAACAGGCAAGTGAGTTATTGCACAAAAAAATTATCACCTTACTACAATATGCTTAAGCTCCCCATCATTTTCAAATTCCAAGTCTGATATTCCTGAATAACTATGCCCCAAAGAAAATGCTTCTGAATTAATGTTAACATTGACAAATAGATAATATATATAGATATTACATAACAAATACATTAAAAGAATAGTAAGGTTGCAAAGTAAAGCATTCTTAAGTTAGAAAATGCCAGGATTAAGGTTGCCCATGCATCCTCAACTCAGCCCCCTCACATTAAAATAGTCTTTAATCACATGATCACACACTATTTTTCTACAAAATATGCCAGTAAGTCTTTGAAGTATCCACAAAGATGCATAAGCCTTGCAAAATCATGCAACCTGCTCTCTACAGTTCACTCACTGAAGACTCCATCATCATGACATTTAGCCAATCTTAAAAATAATTTAAATGCAGATTTGGCTAGTTTTAGGAAGGTGTGGTTTATGTAGCAGGGATTCAGCAATATCTTCCTCTCAATGACCACTACAGACCCCGTTGCTGAAAATAGCATCCAGGTCCTGAGGATGTCCTGGTAAAAGACAGGCAGCGCGGAGATGTCTTGGGAAAGACCTCTTGGATGGAGAAGAAAAAGCTGCTGGTCATATCACAGCCCTTGGAGGTGGTGGAGGAAGGCATGCACTGGCACACTCCATGCCAGACTATGAGCACTGTATGAGTCTCTGCAGGGCCTGAAGGTGGCTGTGAATCTTTATCGTTTACCAAGTTTGTGTTACTGCAGTTTTTTCACTTGTTTTTTCCATATTGGCTCTTTCTATAAATGATCTTGATAACGGGTGTTCAGTTCCTTATATCATGACTTTCATACAAATGATACTAAGCATTTTACTTTCCAGTTCCCCTGGTTCCTCTTCACTATTTTTTCTGTTTATATAGTAGTTTAAGGTTTTATTCCAGACAGTCTGCATCAAGCTGTTTTTGTTCTAGTGACCCCTTTAGTGATACAGTCTGAGTATAATGTTTCAGGGTACTTTAATAGCAATTTCCTTCTCTATGCCTTCCTTGTCTTGAGATCCTCAAGAGCAGCCAGGATGCTGATTGCTCACCATGAGTCCTTGTTACGGAGAGTGCTGATAATTTATTCATTGCTGAATTTTGTTGTTAACCATCTTTCGCAATGGGTGAGAGATGGGCAATTTAGATTAGGGAATCATTTAAAAACAAAGGGAAAACAAATCTCCATGAGGCACTGCAGAAAGCATCAGTGGACATCTTGCTTTCACTGCAAAGTCAACTCAATTATGACTCAAGTTTGCCCTAATTTGAATCCCACACACAGCTCAACTGTGGTGGTGCTTTTAATTTAAGTTGGCTGGGCCATCAGCAAGCAGAGGCTAAAGCTAGAATTGCCAGCTGCTAACATGAGCATTCTGCATCCTGGATACAAGCTAGCTCCACTTGACTGACACTAGTTCATTATTTGTATTGCTATAGTGCCTAGAAGCTCTAGCAATAGACCAGGACCTCCCTGTGCTAGGCAATGTACAAACATTACAAAAAGAGACAGGCCCTGCCGCAAAGAACTTACAACCTCCAATGCCTTTGCAAAATTCCTCTCATATGCCCAGAACACACGGACAAGTTCTCCCACAATTAACTGGGAAAGAATTAATAGTTTTAGTGCCAGACATAAGTGAGTGCAGCACCAGTGTGGACGCAGCATCTTGGTGCTATTTAGCAGTGTGGGCACTCTCACTCAAGCTAGGCTCGCTCAAGAAAAACAAGCATAGAACATTTGAGCTAATTCAGTAGTGAAGACATACCTTGAATAAGTCCCCTCCCCTCCCCACTGAACACCAAGGGGGTGTGAGGTAGCTAAGAGCAAGAGATACCACCACCACCTCTTCAACATCTTCTTTCCCCAGACAAGGAAGGGGCAGTTGAACCACACCATTGCTTTGATCTCCTCCAACATACATCTCACTTTTTTGACAGCACCCAGACTTCCTTCAGCAGCCTCAGCCCCAATCCTAACCTGATTGAAGGATGGCTACTAACCCCAGCCCTGTGAGATTATGTCGGGCCACAAGCTACATGGTCTCTGCACCAATGGAACACCATAAGGCCTCAGTGGGAAAATGGAGGGAGTTCTATTTTTCCTACCAAAGAACCATGCAACAAGAGAACATATACAAGATGTACATGAAACATGTACAAGATAGACTGGAAAAATGGCACAATGGTATCGCCTGAGTTTCATCCAATATGGCCTCAGAAAATTTACTGTATTGACATGTGCCATAATATGTTCAAAACTATCAAGGAGGAGGTTTCTGGATAGTAGCAGCTCATACCAGTTACAACCTGGTACCTATGCAAGTATTACTGTGCCAACTACAGGCACCTTTTGGAAACAGTGGAAGCAAGACAACAGAGCTGCCAAAACTCAACATGCTATTTTGAATAGAGATAAACAAGAACACTGTGGGGCTGAATCCAGCTGACCCACTACACCTTTTCACAGGCAAGAAGCCAGTCAACCCACTATGCTAACGTTTCCACTTGACCCAGGTGACTTAACAGATAGCAACTCCAATTAGCTCAGTCCAGCTATTAAAGATATTAAAGCATCAAATGCAATGCTCCCCATTTATTAAAGTGGCTTTGAAAATTAAATTGTTTCAGATGAGATCGACTACAGTGGAACATATATATCAGTGCACCAAATCCTCCTCTGCAACCCAGATTGTGATGTGCTAATTCAAACGCTAAAAAGACTACCTTATTATTCCTGTTACTCTGCAGCCCCTCCATAACCATGCAGAGACACAGGTAAAACCTGAGAGACACAAGGCAGGTGACAGATAAAACCTTGTCAGCTGCTTTTGCATTCAAAGTATAATTTCAAACAGTGGTTCTTAACCTTTACTCCAGCCTGCACCCCCCTTTGGTTCTCAAAATACATTCTTGCACCCCTTAAACCTAGATATATTTTGCTTGTATATTACAGTAATCGTTAAAAAAATGTATAATGTTAATAAATACATAGGTTTGATGAAACAAAGTAGTTGTACTTACTGCCTGTGCTTAATTTGTGTTTTCGATGATTTACCTTCTAAAAAAATCTGGCATGTCTCGCACCTCCAGAATGGGCATCTTGCACCCCAAGTTAAGAGCCACTGATTTAGAATTTCAAGTTATTTGAAATAGAAAACTAAAGTACAAATTGTAAGTTTAATTCTTTACAATAACAAGTAAAATACACACTAGCTTCTATATACTCAGGCGGCATCCCTGAACTAAATAAACTTCTTAGTTCCTTGAAGAAAAGGTAATGTCTGTTTTACCTTCATTCGCACCTGAGACACTTTCCTGCACCTAAAGAAGTCACTAAGAAGGGAAGCAAGGGGCACTGTCCTCTTTCCCTTCTATTGCTTAGAAAATTAAGGGAGAAAACATTCTCCCATTATGCTTTTACTACATTTTTTTTTTTTTTTTTAATGTAAAAGGAGTGAATTTAGGGTGACCAGATGTCCAATTTTATAGGGACAGTCCTGATATTTGGGTTTTTTCCTATATAGGCATCTATTACCACCGTCATCCCAATTTTTCACATTTGCTATCTGGTCACCCTAAGTGAATTTCATATTGGTGAGATGCTATAACCCAGAGCTATGGAAGCTTAGCTGCACAACTCAAAAACCAACTGGAGGGAACTCCCCAGGCCAATACAGGTAGCCTTAAATCTTTTACTAATAATTCGGGTCCGTTCTGGGAGTCTAACCAGAGATGCCAACTATCATATGGTCTCCATGGCACCTTGACTTACAACCAAGTCACTGCACATAGTAAGTATCTTACGGGTGTTTACTCACCATCAATCCAGATCAGATTTGAACGAATGAGAGATGGTAACTGCAATAACACTTAATCCTCCAAGTCAAACTCCCTGTTTTACTAATTCATTTCTAGTGTTTAAACTCAGGGAGGGAATGTTATGTATTTACTCATTTTAGTACTGGGAATCCATCATTTTTCTGGGGTCTCATAAGAGGCCAGCGAAGGGGAAATAGCAGTTTAAAAGTTAGGCCTTGTCTACACTGGCAAGTTCCTGCTCAGTAAAGCAGCTTTATGCGGTGTAACTCCCAAGGTGTACACACTGCCAAGCCACTTAGTGCGCAGAAACTGCACAGTTGCAACACTGTAAAAGAACCACCCCGACGAGAGGCATACATATTTCTGCGCCAGGGCTTCAGCGCCGCGGTGCCAGTGTAGACACCCTGGTCGATTACAGCGCTGCAATTGGTCTCCGGGAGGTGTCCCACAATGCCTGTTCTCACCTCTCTGGTCATCGGCTTGAACTCTACTGCCCTGCCTTCAGGTGACCAACCGTGAGCCCCACCCCTTAAATTCCCTGGGAATTTTGAAAGTCCCCTTCCTGTTTGCTTGGTGATGCGTTCAGTGGTCTCAGCGTATCTTTCCAGGTGACCATGCCTGCTCCACACACCAGGCGATCCCCCGCTTGGAGTAATGCCAAGCTGCTGGACCTCATCAGCATTTGGGTTGAGGAGGCTGTCCAGTCCCAGCTGCGCTTCAGCCGTAGGAATTATGATACCTACAGACAGATTTCATGATGCAGGACAGAAAGGGGCCATGACCGGGACACACGGCAGTGCAGGGTCAAAGTGAAGGAAATATGGAACGCCTACCACAAGACACGGGAGACAAACCACCGCTCAGGTGCTGCGCCCACAAGCTGCCAGTTCTATGAAGAGCTGGACATGATACTTGGTGGCGACCCCACGTCCACTGTGAAGACCACTGTGGATACTTCAGTGGCTCGCATGCCAGTCGAGAGTGGACTGAGCCAGGAGGAGGAAATCTTGGACGAGGATGTGGAGGGGGACCCAGACGCAGAGATGCATGCAGCCAGGAGCTCTTCTCTACCCCAGAGGAGGCTAGCCAGTCACAGCTGTCGGAGCTTGGCAAAGCGCAAACAGGAGAGGAGGCCCCTGGTAAGTGGCTTTGATTTTGGGAATTGCTGAAGTGAGTTGTTGGGGGCAGGAGGGTTGCAGAAAGCAGGCTTGTGTCTGTATGACGCAGGTACCACCACATGCCTAGTCTGAGCGGAGGAACAGGGTGTTGATTGACTCCATCACTTCACAGGAATCTACCTCAGATCTCCATGAAACTCATGGAGATGTGGGCAATCTGCTGCCACAGGTTCTTTGGCAGAGTTGCTTTGTTTCTTGCCCCATTAAGGGTAACTACTTTCCCACGCCAACTCTGCCGTCACTGGGAGGGGGATGGGGGGCGGCGCACCATTGCTGCACAAAGGCGAGCCGCATAAGGGCCAGGGCGGAAGCCGCGGACTTGGAAAAGACCCTCCCTTGATTCCCTGCTCACCCTCAGAAGCGAGATACCTTCTATAATGAACACAGCCTGGGGAAAATGTGGGCACATTATAAAGCCCCCCCTACAGTGTTGGCTCTCCCCAAGAGCCACGTGCCCAGTGTACAGTACAGTCCTGGAACACTGATTTCCCCTGCGGTTACTCACCATTTTGGGGGTCTTGTGGCTTGTGTGTGCTTGCCTGGGGTCAGCCAGTTAGCGACAGGTATGGGAATAGGGGCTGTGTTTTAAATCACTGAATCAGTGGTCTCTGTGTTGCAAACAATATTGCTTCTGTAAAATGTTGCATTTTAGCTTCACAGATATGACCATGGGAGCCCAGCCTCCCTCTTTGTTATCGCTGTCTGAACGGCTGCACAGAATTAGAAAGCAACCACAAAGAACTTCTGTGTGATGTCATAATGCACTCCGCTGCCGAAAAACAAGAATTGAAGGAGTGGTGGGATAGCGAGAAGAGGGACCAAAAGGAGAACGCAGTGCACCAGAATGAATCCACGGAGCGGCTCTTAAATGTTACAAAGCGCCAAGCGGACACGCTCCAGGCGCTACTAGCACTGCAAACCAAGCAGCTTTGCGCCCGCCCTCCTCTGCAGCCACTGTCGCAAAACTCTTTCCCGTGCACCCCCCAGACACCACCAACACACTCTTATCAACCTCCTGGCTCCAGTCTGTACCCACTTCATTCCACTCCTGCTCCATCACAGTCTAGTCCTGAGGACTCTCAGAACCCACTGCAATCAACACCCGTCCCTCTGCAGTTTAGCCCTGCTGAAGTACAGTACCCGCTGCACTGTACTCCAAAGGACAAGGCTGCATATAATACCTGGACATACACAAATTTTTAACAGTCCCGGGACCCCAACTCCTCCTCCCTTCCCCATCCCCCACAGTGCTGGTGTGTTTTTTTGTTTGTCTCTCCCCTCCAGTTGTTGTTTTTTTAATAAAAGAATTGTTTTGGTTTGAAAGCAATCTTTATTCCATTAATTGAAAGCAAACAGAGCCCTGCAAAGCAACAGGCAATCATCTGCACCAATCACAATCACCTCCTGGCATTACAAGCTCACTTGGCTAATGCTTTGATATATAAACCTATGTAATGATTGTAGCTTTTTTGCTTCTCTTGAAAACACTATCAAATAACTGCTGTCATTCTGTATGAACACTTGAAGATAGGACTTCTTGGGAACCTGGAAACTTGTGTATTTATGTTACCTGCAAATCTGTTTCTAACAAACTGGAGGAAAACAGTCACATGAGTGATCTATGAAATACACCTTTATTCCTACAGCTATAAATAAATACATTAGTAAAAACAAAACAAAAATTACAAGCACTGCACTCCCGAGCATAGCAACATATATTAGTGGCTTTCAGCTTCAAATTGCTGCCTCAAGGCATCCCTGATCTTTACGGCCCCACGCTGTGCCCCTCTAATAGCCCTGGTCTCTGGCTGTTCAAACTCAGCCTCCAGGCACTGAGCCTCAGCGGTCCAGCCCTGAGTGAAGCTTTCACCCTTCCCTTCACAAATATTATGGAGCATACAGCACGCGGCTATAAGCATAGGAATATTGTCATTGGCCAGGTCCAGTCTCCCATACAAGCAACGCCTGCGGGCCTTTAAAAGGCCAAAAGCACACAACAGTCATTCTGGACTTGCTCAGCCTGTTGTTGAACCGCTCCTTGCTGCTGTCAAGGTGCCCCATGTATGGCTTCATAAGCCACAGCATCAAGGGGTAGGCAGGGTCTCCCAGGATCACAATGGGCATTTCGACTTCCCCTATGGTGAGCTTCTGGTCCGGAAAGAAAGTCCACTTGCAGCTTCCTGAACAGGCCAGTGTTCTGAAAGATGCGTGCATCATGCACCTTTCCGGACCAGCCTGTGTTAATGTCTGTGAAACGCCCACAGCGATTCTCAAGCGCCTGGAGAAGCATAGAGAAATATCCCTTCCAATTAATGTATTCAGTGGCTAGGTCGTCTGGTGCCAGAATTGGAATGTGCGGGCCATCTATCACCCCTCCGCAGTTAGGGAAGCCCATTTGTGCAAAACCATCCACAATGTCACACACGTTGCCCAGAGTCACAGTCTTTCAGAGCAGGATGCGATTAATGGCCCTGCACACTTCCGTCAACACAAGTCCAGCGGTCGACTTTCCCACTCCGAACCAGTTAGCGACCGATCGGTAGCAGTCTGGAGTAGCCAGCTTCCACAGTGCAATCGCCATGTGCTTCTCCAACGACAGGGCAGCTCTCATTCTCATGTCCTTGTGCTGCAGGTCTGGGGCGAGCTCATCACACAGTCCCATGAATGTGGCTTTCCTCATCCAAAAGTTCTGCAGCCACTGCTCGTCATCCCAGATGTGCATGACGATGTGATCCCATCACTCAGAGCTTGTTTCCCGAGCCCAAAAGCGGCGTTCCACTGTGGTCAGCACCTCTGTGAATGCCACAAGCAATCTCATGTCATAGCTACTACGCGTGGAGAGATCAATGTCAAACTCCTCTTGCCTTTGTAGTTTACGGAATAACTCCACTGCCACTCTTGAAGTGTTTGTGAGAGCGAGCA